AAAAAAGAATTTATTTCTCTTAATCCTACATTTCATCCTCATTCATTACACCACTTTCTAATTTCAAAACTAAGCAAGGCAGGAGTTCCAGCTCGTTCTCTGATCACACTGTCTTTCTCTTTTCATAGGCAGTGACAGCATGATGCAYTGATGTGCAAAAGAGACAAATCCAGGTTGCTAACTCACTTTGGGCACTTTCCAACTTTCGCATGTTAAATGCCATTATCACAGCTTTTATCCCAGTTTAAACAAAAACTTACTGATGAAAAAGGGTTTGTAAGTAGGGTCTCCTATTCCTCTGTAGAGCCTTATAGACCATTACTAGCAAGGTCCCTAACTCTGGAAGTTCTCTATTTTACTGAGCTTTTCAGAGAAACACACACACACTCCTCCCARTTTCTCCTTCTGAGTTTTCTCCTTCAACCTGCCTGGTCCCACAGGGAGACTTGAGAATCCAYGGCACTCATGTGGTAGACTGCAGGCCACAAGGCATAAATTTTACGTAGCAGAAATTTCTCATTTCAGAGTTAAAGAGTTCAAGGGATGTGTACATCACAGTGTGGAGATTCTGAGAATTTGCTAGAGCTTTATCATTCACATCCTGGGTGGAARGTGCATGGTAGGCTTCAATGGGAAGGCCTTCTGAGATAGTACAGGTGAGGCCACCCCAATTTTACTTCYTCCTACACTAGTGCTTGATAGTTCACTCTGAACTAAATTATTCCTACAAAAAGGAGACAAGCTGATTCATCCGAAGCCCAGGAAACCATTAAGAGCATGCAATATAGACAGTTTGCAGACCAGCATCCAGAAAGAAACTGGAAAGCAGAGTGACTTGAACAACAATGGATATTGCTGTAAAAATAACAAATAACAAAGACATCAAGAGAGAAAGTCTTTGTGTTTGCACGTGTAGACTGAACATCTCACACAGAAACCTATGACTAAGGTGCACAAGGTGCACRTAAATTAAGTGAGAATCTAGCTGATAAAAATGCATTTCTTTCCAGATGAATACAGTTTTGCAAAGACTTTGGCCAAATTCAGGYAGACAATGCAAATAGCACCTTTCTGCCAAATTTCAAATATCTCYTCTGAAGCATGAGGACACTAGAGCTTTTCAGAGAAAATGTTACCAGAATTGAGCCCAGGAAAGCTACTGTATTTTCCAMTGGCTTCACTCTCAGAGAGAGCTGGGATGTTTTGGCTGTGACTTTCAAGAACAGGATAAGGAAAAAMATGGATGCTTAAAATATAAATTTAGAGAACTGGACATGACAAATCTATAAGCAGCGTGTAACAATATAAAAGCTTCTGGCTTTGTTGCATAGCTTGCCCTATTAACGCTTCATTTTTTCCTCTTAACATAATCTACTTCTCYATGCTATATAATTTTTGGTCAACAACCAAAGGTCAACAACAAGGTTGGCAGYAAAGTCACATTGTCAAAATGGTAGTTCTGTTTCAGATCTCCTCTTCTTGAAGCATCTACAAAGTCTTAATGACTTTCTAGACACAAAAGTACACATCCAAAAAGAGTAACCCATTACTTCAGTGTCGCACTAATTTCAGTTGAATTTCAAGGCACAACAAAACACCYCACGTGATCCAATTAATACAGCCGATAACTTGGAAGTTAATATACTGTCATAAAATCAAGTCTGGAATAACGTGGAATCTTWTCTTGAAGTAATGACTAATTCAGCTAAGCAAGCCCAATTAAATTCAAGAATATCACCTCTGAAAGTAATCCAGTTCACTAGAATTCAAGTAATTTCAAGTTCATTGCGGGGGATCTACAAGAATACCACCATAGTGGAATTCTAAAAACACTTAAGGGAAAATGCTCCTRTCCTGAAACTGTGTTTTGCTTGGTACTTCTACAAGATCAAAAAGGCCTGAGCAAATATTAACACAGTAATTTCATCTGCTAACATCAAATGTCATGACACATCCATCTGAAATCAAAATTATGATAGCTTTCAAACGTATAAATTAATATCAATCACGGATAGTGCCTGAACAAAGTAGACCCACCCCACTTCTGTCATTTGCAATGCCAAGGAAATCCTACTCTCACAAGCAGTCCTTATCTTCTGCTTTCAGCAATGCTCTACAAACCTTTGCAAGTCTTAAGACCCCGTGAATTACAGGGAATGCTACTGGTCCTGGTCTGCAGTGGCTGCAACCAGGAGAATAAAGCATAGATTAAGCAAAAATGCAGAGTGAATGTTTAGCCCACTTATACTTTTCTGAATTTTTCTTTTTTAAAAAAATTGCCAGGTTGTTTTGTGTATATCACATCACAGGTTAATATTCTTGTATTTTATTTCATACCCTGCAGCCACACATTCCACTGAAGTGTTCACTATAGTTCCTGAAAGAACAAGTTGGAACAGCTCATCAGTGAAAACTCATTTCATGCTGCCTCTTCCATGACTAGCTAATTAAGGGTTTGTGAGAGTATACAGTAATATTAAAACTCTGAAACTGCCTGGGAATTTGCTCATGGCAAGTGAATATGATTGCTTATAGTTCCCAGGAAAATATATGTAATGGTAATTAAGTTAGCCAAGAGAAGGAGGAGATGGTTGAAGTTTCCCAATCCTTTTCCAAGGGCCATTTGCCCAACAGGGTGGTAACAGACCTAGAGGACTCTTACAAATTAGGAACAGCATTCACAAAGAGAACATMATCTTCGCGCTTAGAAAGGTATAATCATCATATAACCTTAAATTCATACATCAGACTGCCCCCGTTCCCTCCACGCCAGCGCACACACACTCCATTTACGGGAACGTTAACTCTATACCACTCCAGGAGTTTAACTCTCTTTAAAATCGCCGCCGATTTATCGCACTCGCACGCAGCCACAGCCACAGCCACAAGCGCCTCTGGCCCAGGTACACCCGCTCACCCACCGCGCGTCTCTGCCCGGCCCCGGCAGCGCAGCGAAGGCCGCCCCGGTCCGCACCTCGCACCCGYGGGGAGACCTTCCCTCCTCCCTTCCATCCTTCCTTGCTTCCCGGAGCGGAGGGACAGACAGACCTACCCAGCGCGAGGAGCAGGGGCGGCAGCGCCGCGCCCACAGAGCCCATGTCCGGCGCGGTGCGAGGTCGAGCCGGCGCCGCTCCCGAGCTGGCCGCTTCCCAGCCGACAGTGAACGCCACCTGCTTCAAGCCGCCCCCAAATACTCCTCCTCCTCCCCTTCTTTTCCTCCTCCTCCTCCACGCCCCCTGCGGAGGGGCCGGGAGGCCGCTCCTCTCGTCCGTGCCCCTCGCTCCGCACCCGCGGCGTTGCCGGCGGTGCTGTCCCCTGCAGGCTCTGCCTCCGGCTTGCTCCGGGAAGTTCTCCACTAGTTTGATTCTCTGGAGGAGACACTCCCGCGTTCGCCCTGCCTGGCGCTACCCGAGGCTGTGTGGTCTTTCTTCGTCGCTACGCTGGAAGGAGGTCTCCGGGATCSGAAGGCCACCATCCCCGTCCTGGGTACCCTGGGCAACAGCATTTTGGAGTTTTGGAGGGGTGGGGAGGTCTCTTTGGTGACAGAAACCTGTAGAATAGTCTTTAAACCTGTATTTATTGAACGGTATAGCGTGACTGTCTGCCTCGAGTATTAAATTGCACATTTAATGACACTGAGTCTACATCCTCTTTAAATGAAATTCCTGCAGAATATGCCCCCAGCTATRCAGGAATGCAACAGGATCCTGAAGCCTTGCCACACAACTGTCTCAAAGTTGGCAATGATGGTGAGGATGTTTTGCATAGGTAAAATAACTGCGTACGTTGGCTTAGGTGCCAGGCCAATATCCAGGAAGACAAAGAGAATCGAAGCCAGTGAAAATAGAGACGTGAGAAGTTTGACTTCCTAAGAAATGAGATCCTTATGCAAAGTGCTGTGYAGCTTTCAGTTTATCTAGCCTTGTCAGCACTGTTTGAATACTGTATGTGCAAGTATTTGAGAAACACATTTTCTCCATCCCATAGTTCCAGTAAATATCAAAATTTATGGCACTACCTTTTCAAATGGAATGTATTTCATTTTGCACAATGAATTCTGCTGAATCATTTGAACTCCTTGGCATTAACACTGTGTAATGAAAAAGACAGTTTGCCTGGAAAATTGAAATAGGAATGCTTCCTTCCTTCACCCTTCTCGCATCTAGGTCATGGCCCTTTAGGTGTGACATGCTATAGCTATTATTTAAAGAGTACATATATTATCTCAGCTTCTTGTTTGTTTCTAACATTTGAAAACTGAGCTGTAAGTTAAAATRA